ATTTAATAAAGGGTCTCACCTTAAAAAATATATAGTGATATACTCAATGGGGCACTTTTGATAAAAAAAATAATGATTACACTTTAAAAGATTAAAAATACCTTATATTTTTAAATATCAAACTCTTCAACTTTATATTTTTAAATGAAAAAAGTATATTTAAAGTGTTGTTTTCAATTAAATCAAGATATATAAATTTTTTATATATTATTTATTATATAACTAAATCTTATTATTAATATTATTAACAAATGTGTTGGCAAGAAAAAAAAATTGTTAACAAATGTAAATTGATTTACTTTGATTTGATTGAATAAAAAATAAATATATAAATTTAAGTATTTAAGTCTCATTTAAACTAATATAGCATAACTTTTAGAGACATTTTGGAGATATTTTTTATATATTTATTTAACGTAACTATTACATATTTTAAGACTCAAACTTAAAAATTCATGACAAGTTAATTTAATTCCTTTCATTTTATAAACCAAACCCTCTTGTGTGCTTCTAAAACTAGATATTCCCTATGATTTGCCCCCAACTTGTATACTTTATTTATTATTTTTTTAAAAAAATATATATTAGAATTTCAACTGTAAAACACTTATACAGGGTAAAATTAGAAAGATGCACAATTTTCTTAAAAAGGTTAAAGTTTTAACAAACATTTTTAGAAGCATGAAATAAAATACTCCATCCCTTTTAAATTACAAAATACTTTTGAATAAAATCTTATATATTAATAAACTTCATTAAATATACTTAATAACTTTTTTTAATCAAAATAAAAATATAAATTTTTAAAAATATCCTTCATTTAATATATTAAAAAGAGAGATGAATGAAAACTAAATAGAGAGAGAAATGATAACAATGGAATAAGCTTATTTAATAAAATTTTAGTCTTCTTAAAGTATTTTATATTTTGAGATGTCAAATTTTTCTTAAAAGTATCTTATAATTTAAGATGTAGGGAGTTGTTATTAGGGAAAATGAAAGTAAAATCCCTTCAAATTATGTAAATAACAATTTGATCTCTCAAAATGTCATAATTTTACTTAAATCCCTAGGGACTTCTTTGGCAAGACATTTTATATTGAAAAGACCATTTTATCTTTATTGATAAGTTGTTATTTTTTATTTAAGTTTTGTAATTCTTTGAATAAAAGTTGTAATTCTTTAAACAAAAGTTATGAATAGGGTTGTTATTTCGAGAACTTATTTTTCAATAATAGAAATTATACTTGATAAATTGTAATTTCTTATTCAACTCTTGCAATTCATAGAATAAAATTTATTATTTTTTTAAAAAGTTATTACTGAAGCTTGTTTTTAAATAACAAAAATTACATTTGACAAGTTGTAATTTATAGTTCAACACTTGTAATTTACAGAACAAAAGTTATGACTGAGGTTTGTTATTTTCAATAAGAGTAGAATAATTTTTTTCACTTTAAAATCTTTTAACATATTTGTCTTTAGAGACTTCATTAAAATTATATAATTTTGAGAGATTAAATTATCATTTATATAATTTTAAGAATTTTTATTGTCATTTTGTCTTGTTATTATTGTCTTATATTATAGACCCCATGGAATAAATAATTGTCTAGCAAAAAAAAAAAAAAACAGTTATGCTTTTTAAATGGTTCATGTATTGACTTTTTTTTTATAAATAAATGCTCCCTATTTAATGTTTCGACTTCTAGCTTATATTTAATACTAATTCATAATTTCTCCTTTCAATTTAATGATGGATATAATTGAAATAATGCATTTATCGTAGCAGACAAAGCTGATCATTAACAAAGGACAAAGGTAAAAATCATTGCACATATTAAAAAAGGATAGCTATATGTTTAAAATTGTTAAAAATTATGCATCTTTTCAGATTTTCTTTTCTTTGCAATCAATAATTATAATAAATTGTTATCTAAAAATTCAAACGTTAATAATTAAATAAAGGGTAAAATTAAAAAAATTAATTACTCTAACTTTACCTTATATTAAAGATAAAAAAATTTGAAAGTTTATCTTATATTAATGCATAGAGGGAGTATTTATTAATGTAATTTAGGTTTTTGATAAAAATAAGTCTCTTATGACCGATGAGGGTTAGTTTTAGTGAAATGAGCTGGTTATCTCATAATGTGTTAAATTAAAGTTTGAATTTTGATTACGAGATGTGGTTGAATTTAATGTCTAACCATGTCTCGAACAAAATTGCTTTTAATGAGATAATATCTATGCACAATCATAAAACAAGTCACCTATTATTATGATTCATAGAGTCTGTTTAGTTGGAAGAGGGATTTTAATGAGCTGGATGTTAAAAAAAAAGTGAGGTTAAAATATTTTAATTAATTTTTCTTACTCTTCTTAATTTATATCTTTTATTTATTTAAATTTTATAACTTCACTTATCCATTTTTTTAAAAAATTGAATTAATTAGAATCCCTTCCAACAAAACAAGGTTAAAATACCCTTATATTCACTATTAGAATTATTAAAAATCTATCTATTTTTCTATACGTTGTATGAAATTTGAGATGAATGGTATAATTTATAACTCGACTTACTGTACAATTTACAATAATGGTATATTAACATTGATTATTTTTAAAAATAAAAAACATAGTTTTTTATTTATTAGGCACATACAATTTTATATTGAAAGCAATCTTAAAGATATAGTCCATCATTGAACGTTGACACTTTTTTATTTGCAGCGAACTTCACTAATTTTTTTTAAAATTGAATTTTCTTCAATTAGGTTAAAAGTTTGAAGGACCAAGAATAAAGTTATAACTAATCCCTATGATGAATTCAAGTTCTTAGAATATAAGAGAGTTTCAAAATCATTGTAAGGAGATATGAAATCAAAATTCCTTTTTAATGACAACTCAAAACTTTATCAATATAATCATTAACCAATAAATCTATATAACAAATATTAACCTTTGAATAACAAATTTTTTTATTATAGTTTCTTAAAATTTTAAAAATATCAAACGAAATATTTAATTAATAACATCACCGTACACAAAAAACATTAATAACATCACCGTACATAAAAAACATTAATAACATCACCATTCACCATATAATAATAATGTGAGATAATGCGATGAAACGTAACTTTAAATTTGTTGATGCAAGCGAAGCAGGCAATGACTTTATGACCAAGGTAATAATATGCTATTTTTTTTTTTGAAAAAAAAGTAACAACAACAATAAATAAATATTAAATATCTCTTTCTTTCACGGGCGAGAGCTTACCTGCTCCAATGACTAATTCCAACAGTCACGAGCCACTGTATCTCCTTCAGGCTCTACCATGTAATAAAACTTCAAAAAACTTTCACCCAAAAAAAAAAAGCTTTAAAAAATATTTCTTTTTTTTTTGCCAACACTTTAACAAATATTTCATAAACATAAGTAATACTATAATATAATAATATAGCATGACAAGATGATCATGACATGCGCCAAATTTTGCTATGTGAGTGAACTTTATAAATTTCACATGGACATTACTTATTATATATATAAATATATACACTCCTACTGGCTAAGAGAAAATACGAAATTAATTTTTTTGGCTAATTCAATATGTGCATGTGAAACATCAAAGATCTTACACATTCATGAATTGTTATGTATTTTAAAAAATTGATTACTCCCTAAAAGCAGTGTTTTTTTTATTTTATTTAAAAAATCAGGAAAATAAGAGTAGAAAGAGGAAATAAATCAAGAGCATGATTAATATTTATTAATCAGTGAATTGATAATTCATTCAATCATTTCAAAAAATCATGTCCATATTGTGTGATATGTTGTTTTAAAAGCAACTAGGTAAATTTCTTATGCAAAACATGAGATATATAATATCTAAAATTAATTTATTTAAAATTATGATTATTTTCTAATAATTAAATCTTGTTGAAATGTTTAAAATAATTGATGATGTAAAAAATTATATAGAATCATTGAAATATGTAAAAAAAATAAAAATAAACGAAATGTATGAAAGCACACAGAAGCTGCATTTCTAACTTACAAATAATTAAATAGTAGAATATATCTTTTTGCATTTCACATCATTTTTTTTAACTTACATATATTCCCTTATTAAAAATAATTTGTTCAAACAATATTAAATAGGAATATATCTCCCAGCAAAAATTTAAATATTGGTTCACTTTGTTATTTGAGATTAACTCCTTCCTCTAGATTTAATTCTCGTCGTTAGTTTATTTATTTAAGAAAATCTAGCTAATGATTAGGATAATCAATTTCATATAAATTATAATAGATTTCCTATATTTAATTGGCAAGAAAGTTTTCATATATTTTCCTAAGATTTCAAGATGAATGGGAATTACTTCTGCCTTATAAATAATGATCTTATTATTATATATTATATATTCTATACTGAAAAACATTGATGATTTTACTATTAATTTCTAATTTTTAATGAGAATTATAAAAGGCAATTAATTATACGGCTGGCATTTTCAGCTCCAAACCCAAAAACGTGGAATTTGAAAATTTCAGTTTATATCAGATATGGAAGAAACATGAAGAAAAAGACGCATCTGAATGTTGTGGCATATCTGTTAATATAATCGAAATGAAGGGCACATTGTAACATTAGATCTTTAATTCGGACATAAAAGACAACAGGTCAGCGCAACAGAAAGGTCGGCCGTCCAAGTCAGCTTTAAATAGGAAAAAAAAATTAAATTGTGAAAAAGAAAAAGCCAGCACTTTCGTTCTCATGTCTTTTTATTTTTAGCGCGAATTTACCGTATTGCCCATCAATAAAAAACTCCTTTTAAATTAAAAATCACTTTTTATTTTAATATTTTAATTGTCCCTCCCGGACGTGAAATTTTTCTTAACCAAATTGTATTTATCGGGTTTAGCAAATTATTATTCAAATATAAATTCTAGATATGTATCTAAATACTTTATTACTCATCTTCGTTTTCTCTTTGGTTTTTTCTCCCTGAGAAAATTTTTAATGCTGCGGTAACAAGTGTTTGCTTATTTTGATTTTGATTTTTTTCTGCTTTCAGTTTTTTCTCCCTTTTCCTTTTCCCTTTTCCCTTTTTTCATCACTCAATTCAAGCAGCTTTGGAAAAACCAACCGGCCAACGGATTTTTCACCTCTTGGAATTTGTAAGTTGTTTTCAATTTTCTCCTGCAAATAGTTTTTATTTTGTTTCTCATTTCTCTCCCTATTCTCTTTTTCCTCTCTGTGTTTTTATTTTTCCTCTGTGGTTTTTGATAATAGTTTCTCTAATTTTCTGGTCTGGCTGGTTTAGTTTCTGGAAGCAGTGAAAAGAAATCTAAGTACTGGTGTACTGCTGAGAAGAAGCTTGCTGAAGTTTGGAATCGTAGTTGCAGGTCATGATCTCTGCATTCTGAATTTTTCCGGAGCTTGATTTTAATGTTTTTTCCCGGAATATATGGAGTTTTGTCTTTTTTTTTTTGAAACTCTTTTTCCGGTTTATTAAATATGTACTTGCTTGTGGCTTCTACAGTTGAAGATGGAGGAGTGGGTAGCTACAAGGTTGATGTCTGGAAAAGCTTTTATTATTATTAGTTTTTATGTTTCTGAGAAGCGTTTGGTAGTATCTGATGCGTTTTGTTTGCGTGAGGAGCAGAAGATTTGAGATAGTTGGTGTAATAAATGAGTTTCTCTCAGACCAAAATTTGAACGAACAGTTGCGTGAAATTTGTTAATTTTCAATTATGTTTTCGGATTTCAGGCGAAAAAAATAATTATACCAGTAATTTTTTAAATTTTAAATTTGCAGTAATTTTTTCGTATTTTGCTTTTAATGGCGGTTTTCGTTTTTCACTTCTATTATACTGAACTGCTCTGGTGAATTTCTGGCTCGGTATTTGAAGAGCGATGGAACTGCCCGCTTTTCAGAGACAAGAACGAAGAGAAAACGAAGCTTTGATCTAACAAACTGCATTTCTGTCTGTGACCTAGTGTAATGTGTTTTTGTTGTTGTTGTTGTTTTTTTTTTTTTTTTTGCGATGTATCGCATAACTTCGTAATGGATCTTCGCTAGTTTAGTGACTCTGTTTATTTAAACTCAAAATCGTTTGCTCTTTTATATTCTTTCTTGGGCATCGTTGAGAATTGTTTCATGGGATTTTACTTTTCCCTTCTTGCATTCTAAGAACTTGTAGTTTTCAATTGCATTCTCTTCCCTTTCTTTTCCTCCTAACGTCAGTATTTTTTGGTGTTGCAGATGCTGGTTTGATTCTGCAAACTTAGAAGGGAAAAATAAATTATATCTATGGAAGCAAGAGAAGGAATCAGTTCAGGGGTTACGGTAATTGGAGCTGAAGCTCCATCAGCCTATCATGTGGCACCAAGAACTGAAGCACCAAGCCAGACTCAAGTTCCTGAAGCAGCACCAGCAGCACCAAATGTTGGCGCCTCACCGATGAGTGTGGGACTGGATGGAACAGCGGTTAAGAAGAAACGAGGTAGACCAAGGAAGTACGGACCAGACGGGGCTGTGGCTATGGCATTGTCACCTTTGCCTATTTCATCTTCAGCTCCACTTTCTAATGACTTCTCATCTGGGAAGCGGGGCAAATCAGCAGGAATGGAGTACAAGAAACATAAGAAACTGGGATTGGAGAATTTGGGTAATGTTTCATATATGCTTATAATTCTCATGTTGCATTTGCTTTTAAGTGTTTATATCAAAATAATGTGTGAAATTTAGGTTACTGAGTTAAATTTTCATTTTGATGGAAACCCAGTTTTTTTATAAAGACTCTCTGTAGTATTTTCCTGTTTCTGATAATGAGATTGCGTCTAACATTGGTCTTACATGCATTAAACTGAACCCTGTTCGTGTTTGACACATGTTGGACTGTTTGTCACTTGTTGGACGCTTATATTAGACATGATGTGACATTTCAAGTTACATATGGATAATGTAAATTCTGTTGTGTTGCCATGTTCTCATCAGCATCCATGCTTCCTAGATGCTGCGCATAAGTGATGCCTCAAAGCATCAGATATTTAAGGAATTGACTTCTGCATGAGGAGATTTGATGGGATTAATGTCCATGAGAATCAGAACTGGATAAAATCTCTGTTTTTACTTCTGACTTGAAATGGTATGAATCTAATTAATAAAAAATGATCCCTAAAAAGAGAAGAAGATATAATCAGAAAGTTTTACCAGGAAACAATAACAATACTATTAACTATGTAATATTTGGAGGCTTGTTTTCCATGTGACTAGATTAATGATTTTCTTAATATGAGAAGTCACATGCACTTGCATCATCAAAGGCACTGGGGGTTGAAAATTAGTGTTTTCTTGATTCCTGCGACATTACGTAGATGAATTTTGCTTGGTGTAGAATGTTCCTTCATGGATCTACAGTAAAAAGTATCTACTGTTCTGAACATGTCAAAACATACTGCTTGATTGGCAAAATTACAAAGTGATCAATGCACTAATCAATCTTTGTTTTAAATTCCTCAAATCTAGCCATGGGCCAAGGTATATGTTTCTTGGGAGAGAGACATGGATTCTCTTTGTAGCTATTATAAATTGCAACTCAGTTCTGTTAACGCATATTGTTGTTATTTTTGCAGGTGATTTGAATGCTTGCTCTCTTGGTACAAACTTCATGCCTCATATCATCACTGTCAATACTGGCGAGGTATGCATGTCTGGGATTGGGGTTGGGGAGGGGAAGGGGGTGAGGTTCTTTAGCTTCATTTATTACAGATTATTTTGCTTTCAAATTCATCTCCATCAATTTTTGGTTGAACTTTCTTTCAAGAGCGCATAATAATATATAAATGTGTAATACAGAATCATATTTTGACCCAATATGTGTGTGTGTGTGTGTGTGTGTATTTCAAACTTCTACTTATCCATGCCTTATGCATTCACTGGCTAAGTTCAAAGCGTTGCGTATGGGATTGCTTTCTCGATTGTTGGAGGGTGAGATTTGCCAACAAATAATACCTATAGCTTGCCTTATCTCCCTTGCCAAGGAAATATGTTAACTTCTATTTATCTATTCGTTTATTTAGAATCTCATGAAAGAGCATTCAAATTTATTTACTTTTTATTCTTTTCATAGATCTAATTTCAATATTTTCATGTTAAAACGAGCATTAATAGACAGCTTCATAGCTTTATGCTATCACACTTCTAAGCGAAGAACGGCATGTAATTCCGTCACACATGTAAAGGCACTATAAATGAAACAGTTTTTAGCTGCATAGAGCATTCAGCTCAGGTATGGGTTCTGACATATATAAAACGAGTGTGTCTGATAATTCCTGAAGTTTTATCATGCTCAAGTGTTTTTTCATGTTTAATGATGCAGAAGTTTAATTAATGGTTATCTATCATTTGCCTGTATTTGAGTTGTTCTTTTGAAGCTGCTTTATACATAGATGTAGCTATTAATTAAAAAATAAAAAAATAATTGGCACATGGGAAAAACACATTTTTTCCCCCTATAATGCTAATTCTTTCTGGCTAAGATACGATTGATCAATTTAATTTTCTTTTTTCTCTGGTTCATGCAGGATATTACAATGAAGGTGATATCTTTTTCTCAACAAGGACCCCGGGCCATATGCATCCTTTCTGCTACTGGTGTGATTTCTAATGTTACTCTACGTCAGCCTGATTCTTCTGGGGGTACTTTGACCTATGAGGTGTGGCATTAAATCTTATCATTGATGATTGATTAAAATGTCAATGCAATTCTAATTGGATGGGTGGCAATTTTCGATTTGTATAATTTTTTCTCCTTTATACACCAAAATATGTGGAAATTTCTTGACATGTTTGAAACTTCTGTTGCTTGCATTTATTGTGCGCGCACAAGTAATGTACATTATAGTGGTTCTAAATTAACTACTTAATATGAAATCTTAAAATTTATCTTTAGCGCGGCAAAATTTAGGGGATGCCAGCATAAAATTCTGCTTAATCTCTGAGAGAAGGTAAAAGTGAGATATTATTGATGAAACCCTAAATTTAAGTAAACATTGTTTTGCAAACATTCTTATTTAGTAAATAAATTATGAAGTTCTCAATGTTGAAGTCAGTGATATGGTATGAAGTGCTCATGGTGGATAAAATTTATTTGTTATAAATTTTATTGCGTTGTCAAATGTGGTTGGCATGCAATTTATGTTCTCTGCTGTACCTGGTTACACGGAATCTAAGCATCTTCAATGGTGTTTCTGCACCATTGCTTATTTTATAGGATCAGATATTTGGGTTGAGTTTATAACCTCTCTGTCTCTATGCTTGGTCGTTTTATGGGAGCTTCGCTGACTTGCATGCATGCAGCGGACTGGGCAGCCTGCCTGTCTTCGTTTTCCCTTAATAGTGAGGCAAAACTAGAGTATCTCCGATTATAATGATAGTTTGCATTAGCAGAAGATGCTATAAAAATATAAGGATGATTTATAGTGGTTATTTACAAAAAGAAAGAATCTACAACATCACTTAATTTATGAGGTTTTTGGGATCAAAATTTGTTCATTGATTGTTGAAAATAAAATACTTTGAGATTTTGAACTGAGGAACAAGTGGAAGGATGGAACTTGAGCTGATCTATCTTTTATGTTTAAGGATGGGGATGCTACTTTGTTTAAGAATATTTGAAGATGTATGTTTTGCTGTAGACATGAGCAGGATTGGCTTCTACTAACGAACCTAAAACCTGGGTTTGCAATTATGTCTTGCCAATACTTGATATAAAAGTTCACATATGACTTGTCAAGTGTACTATTTATATCACATTGGTATCTTCGCGAGATGGATGTTATAGATGACTCCAACTCTGTTCTCTCAGTTCTGAAAACATAAATTTTCTTCTAGGGCCGCTTTGAGATCCTCTCTCTTTCTGGATCGTTCATGCCAACTGACAGCCAGGGAACTCGAAGTAGGTCTGGGGGGATGAGTGTCTCGCTGGCTAGCCCCGATGGTCGTGTTGTGGGTGGTGGAGTTGCTGGCCTTCTCATTGCAGCCAGTCCTGTGCAGGTAAACATACTCTTCTCTTTCTAATGGGAAAAAGGGAGGGGTTCTAACACTTTAACCTTACGGTCTGCTGTTTTTTGAGCACGGTCCTATCATTCAAGGGCTCTGGGTGGTGAGATTATTTAAAACAGCCTTTGCATCAAAATGAAAATAATAAAATAAAGAGCTAAGGGCCTGTTTGGTTTCTGTTCTCATTTTTTGTTTTTAAAAACTCTTTTGTAATACAGTTTTTAAAATTGTTTTTAAAACAAAATAAAATGAAAATCTGTTTGGTTATGTCAAGTAAAAAAAGTTTTAAAATTTAAAAAAATGGACTGATAGTGATGGTTATAGGTATATAATGGTTGTGATTAATAATAGAAATTGATTAAGGTAACAATAATTTTCAATAATCACAGGTATTGTATTTTAAAAAAAAGAAAAATAAAACAAAAACAACTTAAAGTTGTTTCTATTTTTTTGTTTTTAAAAATAAAAAATGAAAATAGTTTTGGAAACAATTAAACGAAAAACATTTATCCAAACAAAATTTTTAAATTTTTTTTGTTTTTAAAAACAAAAAACAGTTTTTAAAAACAGAAAACAAGCAGACCCTAAATGACCTATCTCGAGTAGATAGACCCTCATAACAAGACTTCTTCTGCAGGCTTGAGATCGGTCCAGCTTGGCTTGTGTGTACCGTAAATAATTTTTATAAACGTGAAAAAACAAAATATTCCGGATGCTCAATATGCCCACTAGTAGTTGGCAATCTAGCGTACCTTAACAAATGGCAAAAATGGCTGTTGTAGATATCGTTTTCCTTGAAATTGAATCATAGTTTTTTTTTTTTTTTTGGTGTCAAGATGATCAAACTTAACCTTTTGCTCATATCAGGTGGTGGTGGGAAGTTTTCTCCCAAACAGTCAGCAAGACCCGAAACCAAAGAAGACCAAATCTGATTATGCACCACCACCGGCTACCGTTACCCCACCAACAGTTGCAGTTTCGTCTGCACCACCCTCTACTAATGCTGAGAAAGAAGATGGCTTGGGCGGTGGACATGTCCTGCAAAATTCTGGAAACATGAATTCGAACATGACTTCTCCCTCGACATTCCGACGAGAAAACTGGGTGAACATGCACTCTATGCCGGACTTGAGACAGTCAGCTACCGACATTAACATCTCTCTGCCTGATAGTTAAGATGATAAAAAAGGCTTCGCTGACAACAAAAGATTATTCTTGATTGTGCTGTTTAGTTTTATGTTTCTAGTGTTGTGTTATCTCATCTCATCTAGATTGCTTTCAGAATCAGACCTATGCTTTCTATTATCACCACAGGAGGTAGTAGTTGACAGGTTAGTGACTTGCAGGTTGCAGCTAGGTTTTATTGTTTTTCTCTTCAGGTAGAGTATCTCTGATTTCCCGGCTGATTAGGTAGAAGCTGCAGTATGCAGTAATCGAGTAAGCTATTTCGGATGTAATGACAGCTTGTATGCCTATTTATGACCTGATTTGTTGGTGTAACTCTTAATTTCTCAATTTTAGCCATGCTTTTGACGTTTATGCAAGAATTTCCGAATCTGGGAAATAATTGCATTATAAATGGTAGGAGAAACACAATATATATAGTTCAAGAGTGTACACGCAAGCGAACTTTATAGTGTTTACGTGCATGGCGTGCCAAGCGTCCTATCATATTCTCCGATAGTTCTCATTGCTAGCCATGCAAAATGAGAGATCTCACGTCTGAAAAGGGTGGTTGGTAGTTTCTCATAGCTAGTTGGGTTCACTCGGATAGGTCAATTTGAATAAATTTAAAAATATTTAGTCAGGTTTAGTAAAATAATTATTTACTGTTTGGGTTTATTCAGGAAGGCTCTAAAGGCTCAACAAAATTCAGGTCTAGTCAAATTGGGTTTGTACTTGACCTGAATATTGGAATGATTTTTTTGTTGTAAAAAGTATAATATATTAAATATTAATGGGTTTTTTTAATTTTATATACATTTTATATCAGGAGATCATATATTTAAAGATAAAATATATATTTAATCTTTTAATTTTTTAATTTTACGTCGTTTTATTTTAATTTTTAATTTTATAAAATATTTTTTTAGTTTTTTAATTTTAATACTGTTATTTTTATTATAATAAATTTTTATATTGAATTTTTAAATATTAAAATTTTTTAAATTTTAACATATTAAATTTATTTTTTTAAATAACAATAAATGACACAAAAAGTAATCATTTAAATTGAATATATTAGAATTAAAGGATTAAAAAATACTTTATAAAATTGAAGAATCAAATTAAAACTTTATATGAAGTTAAAGGGTTAAAAGTCTACTTTAGTCTATATTTGAATGTATTATTATAGATAATTTTTTTTAAAAATTGACACATTGTTATATTTTTATTCTATTAAATATTTCAAAAAATATTTAAAATATATTTTAATATTGATTTTTAAATTTTAAGACCCACAATTTTTTTGAAATTGAGTTTTCTTTATTTTTTAAGTATTTAAAAAAAATGTTTTGCATGTTTTGCAATATAAAAATAACTAATTTTAAATTTAAAAAAAAATTAATTTTTTTAAAATTTAAAAATTTGTCAATACGGGATTTAGATTAGCCTGAACAAATCCAAAACTTAAAACCCAAAAAGATTAGGATTGGGTTTATCTATTCGGCTTTTTTTGTAAGTTTGAGCTTATTGGCATTAGATAATTGGCATAGTTTTTCTCCAAATAGTTAACACAGGAGATCCTTTTCTTTACCAAGAATCAGGATCTTATTTTTTGTTTGTTGCGGGATGTTTTACTTTTGGAAAAAATGAGATTTTTTTAAGACCAAGAAGATTATTTTTTATTTTATTTTATTTTTGTTCTTAAGGTAAAGAATTAATACTTAAGTTTGAATTAAATTTATATATATGATTTGCCCTCCAATACCCTGAGAGGAATGCAGATTAGTCTCCCACTGCTAGGAGAGGATGCTTAGATTGATAATTAACTTGAATAAAAAGCTTTTCAATGTTGAAATTGGCCGTTACTGATTAATTGGGTTCATACTCAAATTGCGTAACTGATTGCAACCAAATTCATAAACTTAAATATAATTCCATATCAATTTAGAGGAATAGAAGAAGCTGAACGCAAAAGCATACCCGAATTTATAGTCAAACATATCATAAGATTTCATATGTTGATGGATCAATTTACTATAATTTTTCAAATTGTAAATGTTGGAAACTTCCTTATGGTTCTCCAGAAAAAGGGCAAAGAACTAGTTTCTCGTTATGCCCAATTAAGGGACCACAACCCCTATTTGCAAACTAAATTTGTAATATTTATAGTTTGGCCTTTTAAAAAATTATAAATATCATTCTAGTCTTTACACATTAGTTTCATAATAATTATATCCCTTAAGCCTTAAAACTTATTCAAACAGATCAATTTATTTAGGCTTATAATGATGGCCACACATTTATAAATTTACATGTGTGGCCCCCATATGTTAAATTTTATTCCAACAATCTCCCATTAGGCCACATATGTAAATCTCCACAAAAATGTGTTCAGTCTTATGAGCACCCAATAAGCCATTCTATTTTGGCAAAAAAAAAAAAAAGGGCCAGTATATATAAGGTATAAACAATCTAGTCTATTGACTACATTAACATAGGATTAAAGTGGTTTTTGTCATAATTCAACATCACTAGACCGCAATAAATTAATGACATAGATCAATCATGATTGTGTAGCTTGGAAATTACATGCAAAGTGATTTACACGCCTATTCCAATTGGTCCTCTTTACTTTTGTGAGATCATTACTTTAGCATAATGTGATAGTGACCATAATAACTAAATACTGAATATCTTCAGTTCTGATTAGAAATTACCCTAGTACTTACATACATCTTGCATTAAACACAATACAAACTCCCACTAAAATGAAGTATTTTTATGCTTGATAACACCCATCTAAGCACTATGCTCATGAAAGATCATGGTAATCTTTAAGTATATAATCATGGAGTTTGTCCTTGTGTGTTTAATGGATCTTTGTCCACTCTTCACCTTCCTTGCGCTACTAGTAACTTAATGTCTATGTACTTAGATGAATTCCTGTTGTTATGGAATATGGCAACGCTACCTTGTTGTCACAATATAACTCTGGTGGTCCTTTTATTTTTCCCAATAGGCAGATGCCTCATAATATGTTATAAATAGCATTGTAAATGGCATTCATCATAGTTATAATCAATGATTAAAAAGCTAAAATGGACCAGATGATCGGACCGGTTTGAATTTTGGCTTGGTCAACATGTAAAAATTACTTTGGGGGTTAAGCTAGTTTGGGCCGTTTTGGACCGGCGGTCAGACTGGAATCAAGTTGGGAACAAGATCCGATTTTCAAAAACCGAATTGTTCAAAAAATTCTTTTTTAATTTTTTTATCAATTTTTTTAAAATGAAATTTTTTTAATCATTTAATATTATGTTATATCATGTGGCTTGTTAAGTCATGATAAATTTAGAATATTTAATTTTATTTTAAGTTAAATAATAATTTTGTATTTTTTTTCTTATATTTAAATTATTTTATATATATATATAAATTTTTTAATTTAATTATTAGTTTGACCATTGGCCGTAACGAATTTGGGGGCCAGCAAGGGTTCCCCCCAAATTTTTTTGAAAGTAACAATAATTTTGTTTATAAAAAAGGTAAAAATTATTGTTAACTTTTTACATTTGGATAAAATTTCAGTTATGGCCCCCCACATTTAGATGAAATTTCAATTATGGCCTCCTCATGTGATGAATTTTGGATTCATCCCTGACCATTGGTCCAATCTAGTTAAACTATGCGAATTGTGAATTGTTGACATTTCTAGTTCAACATCCGTGATTATAAAAACATTGGTTAGAATTATAATACTTTAAAATCTCTAATTAATGTGATCTACAATATGTGAGTATGTGCTATCCTTCATTCTTTTCAATTAGTATATAAATTGTATGGCTATTTTTTAATCCAAATATCTACTTAGCATACCAGGAATGTACACAAGTACAAACACATACAAGCCAAAATATAAATTAGACTTTCAATGGCTAATGCATAGGAAATCTCTTGCATTTCCTTAATTTTGAGGTGGTAATTACAAAAGCATTGTTTGAAAGCTAAGCTTGATGCACTATGAAATAGAAGTATAACTTATTTGCAATATTTCATGCCAAACCTTTAGGCATTTTATTTGGCATACCCCTATCATAAGTGGCAAGCAACATATTATCACATGATCAGGAATGCAAACATACTCCCATTGAACTTATGTTACACACAATTTCAACATTTATCTCAAAACCAAATGAGATAGTTATTTTAAGAAAATTGTGATACCTTTATCAAGAATCCTACTCGAGTCCATTTCCTTTTCTCCGTCATCTTCCCAAAAGAGCACAATGCAGTAATCTATTAATTGCATTTCTAACTTTTTTAGCGGACTCATATACTGAACATTAGTTATTGAGATTGTTGAATTTGTTCCAAAGAGACATATGTAATGTTCTAAATGGGGTTATATTGTTTCTCCCCTCAAATTCAATATCCTCAAAATAACCATACATTTTCCCATCTCAAATATATACTTTATCATGGGATTTTAATTTGTATCCCTCATACTGTTTGAGACTTGTGTTGTTGAGTAATCATACTTCTCAAAGTACCTCCATTTACATGAAGAACTTGTAACTATAAGAGAAGTAGGCTATTCAATCCTTGATGCAAGGCAAAGATCTATAAAGGTTAAACAATGGCCACACATTTTTAATATTTACATGTGTGGCTTCATATGTTAAATTTTATTCTTTTTTTTTCTTTCGCACCTAGTATCCTGGGTTATCCTAGGTTTATTGCTCGTCCCAGACTAATCCAAACCCCCATTGGTTGGAGCTTAAAGTGGAAGACGGGTACCGATGGAACGACCTCTTGGAGGTTATGTTAATTATCGTGTTGTCACCCTCAAAGATTCAAATACTCATCTCTAAGAGTGCTAGTCATAGTCCCTTACCAACTCGACTGAGCACCCATTGGTTGTTAAATTTTATTCTAACATTCAATTGATAGAATATGTAATCAAAATATAAAAATTGTATAAAATGTCTCTCAAACAAGGTAATAAACATTGGATTGGATATTGAATCGGCAAAGGTATTAGTTCAAAGATTAATGATTTAATTAGGGTTGAACCATAATCCAACTAGCAGTCATTAATTTATTATCTTTTTAAAGTTAAAGTACATGTTTAGTCATTTAACTTTACATAGTGTTTCATTTGAGTCCCTTAAATTTATAAAGTATTTTTTAAGTTTTTTTAACCTTAACACCATTATCTTCATTAATAAAAAATTCCTACATTAAACTTTTAAATATTGAAAAAAAATCTCAAATGTTAATATATTAATTTTAATTTTTTTAAATAACAATAATTGACTCAAAAAAAATCATTT